GTATTGGGTGCTGTTTGATATGTATTTTCTGTACAGATTACAGGGTACTCCCCGCGTTTTAGGTACAGAGGTATGCCCTAAACTAGCCAAGGGGGGAGTATAATGGGGCAAGTCTCCCTCTCCATCCCCACCTCTTTTAACCACACACATATCAATACATTCCTTCAGTACGGCGATCATCCTTCGGTAATCCATCACACTAAACTGCTGCTGCAATGATCAGGAAATCCTATCAAAGTCAAGTTGAATCAATCTTTCTATCTTGGCTGCGTCTAATGATTGTTTTTCAGTGAAAGATCATTTGAAATGGTTACATTGATAAATAGTTGATCATTTACTGTTTGGAGTATGGCCAGTATCAGTCAAGCCCAAGTCTGAAACGCAGTGATGTATCACAATGTCGTGACTGTGTTGTCTTGGGGAGGGAACCCTGCAAGTTTCTGCAACGCAGTGACTGTGTTGCTTTAAGGAAGAGACACTGCAAGGTCCTGAAACGCAGTAACTATGTTGCCTTGAGGAAGGGATGCTGCAAGGTCCTGAAACGCAGTGACTATGTTGTCTTGAGGAAAGGATGCTGCAAGGTCCCAAAATGCACTGACTGTTTTCTTGTGGAACGGATACAGCATGGTCCAGAAACATAGTGACTATGTTGCCTTGTGGAACGGATACAGCAAGGTCCAGAAACGTGGTGACTATGTTGCCTTGAGGAAGGGATGCTACAAGGTCCAGAAACATAGTGACTATGTTGCATTGAGGAAAGGATGCTGCAAGTTCCCGAAAAGGAAGGGACACTGGAAGGTCCTGAAATGCAGTGACTATGTTGCCTTGAGAAGGGTTCCCTGCAAAGTCCCAAAATGTACTGACTGTTTGCTTTAGGAAGGGATACCGCAAGTTCTGGAAACATACTGACTATGTTGCCTTGAGGAAGGGATGCTGCAAGGTCCTGAAACGTAGTGACTATGTTGCTTTGAGGAAGGGATGCTGTAAGGTCCTGAAATGCACTATGTTGTCTTGAGGAAGGGATGCTGCAAGGTCCTGAAATGCACTATGTTGTCTTGAGGAAGGGATGCTGTAAGGTCCTGAAATGCACTATGTTGTCTTGAGGAAGGGATGGTGTAAGGTCCTGAAATGCACTATGTTGTCTTGAGGAAGGGATGCTGCAAGGTTCTGAAATGCAGTGACTATTTTGCCTTGAGGAAAGGATGCTGCAAGAGCTCTAAATGCACTGTGTTGCCTTGAGGAAGGGATGCTGTAAGGTCCTGAAATGCAGGGACTATGTTGCCTTGAGGAAGGAACCCTGCAAGATTCCAGAATACGGTGTTTCCCTTCAGAATGGGATACTGCAAGGTCCAGAAACTTAGCGACTATGTTGTACAAAATCTAGTGACTATGTTGCCGTAAAGAAAGGGATGCTCCAAGGTCCTGAAATGCAGTGACTATGTTGCCTTGAGGAAGAATGCTGCAAGGGGGAGAAATGTAGTGACCATGTTGCCTTGAGAAAGGGACTTTGTAAGGTCCTAAAATATAGTGACTATGTTGCTTTTTACGTAGGAACCCTGCAAGGTCTCAAAATGTAGTAACTGTGTTGTCTAGAAGAATGAACCCATAACACCGGTATTCTTTACTATTCATGTGATGTTTTCTTCATGTATGTTTGATAGACATGTACTTGGTGTGCGGTTGACTTTGTATCTTCCTGATCTAGAACAGAGACTACAGATCAGCATACTTGCTCCAGCACAGTGACTTACTGAACCCAGTAATAACCAGATTGCTAGGATCTTCAGAAGGGCAATGGCGGCCCACACGTGTTTCTGAGGGAAAAGATCAGGCATAGCACCGGGAAAGTAGGATGTGCACCCCAAACTGCTGCTGGGACGGTCTTGTACAAAAATAAACCTGTAGGTGGTGAGGATAGGCTACGATGAAGTGGGCTTGTCCCAAAAATGAATAAAAAAGTAATGCACACAGAAGCGGACAATTTATGTCCTTTGAAGGTTGAGGTAAAATCTGACTAGACTTTCCAAGGGGACATCAGACAAGATGGAAAAGTCTTCTAATGAGGCAGGTAAAACAGAACGTGAGTGTTTAATGGTGAGTGGGCTATTACCAAAATGTGCCAGTAGGCAGAGCGTACTTGTGCATTATGGCACGCTTACCAGTGAAAGCGCCCCTCTACCCCCAGCAAGGTGATGACCATGATCCCCCTTGCTGCTCTGTCACCAACCCGATATCTGCTGGTCTTTTTTTTAGGTCTAGTGTATTCCATTGGAGAGCCACTGGTGTGCATGCATGTCTAATAGACCCCTAATGTCTCCTTAACGAGAACCTGACACTTCCACTTTGCAACCCTCTATAGCAATAAAGTTACTTAGAGGAGAACTATGGGGTCAGGGCTTTTCCCCACAGTTCTCCTTAGGGTAACGGGAGGACACAAACTAGCGTCCTCCCGTCACCCTAAGCTCAGTATACCTCGAGCTATAGCTACTGCTCGCGGTATACTTAGACGCCGCAGCGGAAGCGGATCCTGACAATTATGTCTGCATCCGCCCAGCAGCGTGAGTGACAGCTGGCTCTGCCTATCTAGAGGCAGAGCCAGCTGTACCCGCCCCCTCCCCCCATCCGTTCCGCCAGTCAGCGCTGGAGGATCGGAGCGGCGAGGGGGGAATTCAGCCACTCCCCTGTCACGGCTCTCTGCAGTGACAGGATCGTGAAGTGAGCGAACGCCGGTATGTGTTCGCTCACTTCCCGATCTACTGAGCCGACCTGTGACGGTCTCATTGTCACAGGTCGACTGAGTAAAAAGCACTCACCTCATAGTTCTCCTTTAAACAAAAAAAAGTGTGATAAAATGAATAAAATAATAATAATTTACAAAAAAACCTAAAAAACCTTTAAAGCCCCTTGCCTCCACAAGACCGTAAACACGTGCATTGGGTGCGTCTACGTACAAATACGATGATTGTGTTGAACATGTTGGGCACGCTGGAGTGATATTAAAAATTCCAGATCTATCCTCCTCTGTGAACTCTAAATTGATGACCTGTAAAGGGTTTTTAAAACCATCACCTACGGGCAATTTGGGGTACCGTAGTATGACGAACTTGGGTAATATATTGTGTTTGTGTGAGAAAAAAACTTTACTGTGTTTTTTACTGAAAGTATGGGTTTGCTAAAGTCATGTGACATAAAACATTGCACCATGTTACTCTCCAGGGTCTCAGCTTTCAGAAAATATATAATTCTGGGGGGTTTAAGTAATCTTCAGGCTTAAAATGTGCATTTTAACGCGTGCAATGTGCACCCACCAACCAAGTACAGTGTCTAGAGTCCCGTGCTGTGAGTCAGGTGGCCATCTCTGAGGTTGACACATGGCCAGTAATGAAATGGGACTTGTCACTGGTATGAATAGGAAAGAGATGATAGAACTGGGATTTGTTACCCAGAAAAGGTGACAGTCTGAACATCTCAAACTAAAGGCAGAACGATGGTGATACAGCAGGCGGAGAGAAACACGACAATGTCGGCTGAAGTGTCGGGTTGTCGGCTTACGTGAACGGTTATAGAACTCAGGACGGGCAACCCAAACTAAAGGCAGAATGGTGACAATACAGTGAATGAAAGGAAGCAAGGTGCTTCCAATGGAGGGGGGTCAGGGGGTGTCAATGAAGACCGCCAACCAGTGTCCAGAGTCTTATTGCGTGAACCAGGTGGCCGTCTTAGAGCTTGCCACCAAATCTGGTAAGAAATGGGACTTATTACACGTGTCACTAATAGGAAAGAATTCACCAGGTTGGGATTTGTTTCTAAAATTAAAGTCAGGACTGTGATGAGACGGTGAACATAATAAAATGGGACTTGTTGCCAATGTTATTAATAGGAGGGGACAACCTGAACAATTGAAGAACTCAGGACGGGCAACCCAAACTAAAGACAGAATGGTGACTATATATTGAAAGAAGGAAAGCAAGATGCTGCTTCCTCTTTGTGGTCAATGATGACCACCACCCAGTAGGGCATACTGCAACCCGGCCCCATGCATCAGGTGGCCGTCTCTGAGGTTGTCACCTGGCTGGTGATTTGCTGCCACCGGTATTCATAAGTAAAAGAACAGAATGGTGACCATAGATCGAAGAAAGGAAAGCAAAACACTGCTTTCCTTCTATGGTCAATGATGGTCACCACCCAGTAGGCCATACAGTGTCGGGACTCCTGTGCATCAGGTGGCCACTTCTGAGGACCTGTTACCAAACATCATCAACAGGAAAAAAAAAAAAATCAGGCTGGGATTTATTCCCTGGAAAAGGTGGACAACATAATCAGTTGACATGAACATCCCAAATAAGGAGGAGGAACTGTGTGCCGATACAACGTGCAGATGGTAACACAACACTGCCGGCTTGGAGAACAGAGGACGGACAACCCAAACTAAAGGCGATGAGACGGTGAATGAAGGGAAGCACAGGCAACACAAAGTAAAGGCGATGAGACGGTGAATGAAGGGAAGCACAGGCAACACAAAGTAAAGGCGATGAGATTGTGAACGAAAGGAAGCACGGGCAACACAAAGTAAAGGCGATGAGACGGTGAATGAAGGGAAGCAAGACGCTGCTCATGGGAGGGGGGCAATGATGACCCGGCAGGTGGCCGTAAATAAAAAAATATAGGGACTTGTTGCCAATGTTTCCAATAGGAAAGGAGGGATCGTAAGGCTGAACGGTTCTCAGTAACGTCCCAAACTGAAGGCAAGTCGGTGACGATACAACGAGCGAAGGATAACGTAACGAGACACTGTTCCGTAAGGTGGGGGGAGATGAGTAGTGAGGTGGGGGGACGAGTAGCAAACGCAGGGGGCGTATAGCGTCCGGAGTCCCGTACAGTTGTCTCTGAGGTGGTGGTGGCGCGGAGAGAGGAGGGGGGGGGATAATTTCCTCATCATTCACCCCCCCCTCTCTTCTATTCCTCCACTCCCACCTCCTCCTCATCCTCCTCCTCCACTCCCAGCCTCACAGCTAGCTGATGCCTGCCTACAGCACACACTGAGCCAGGGGAACAAGACACACACTCTGTGCTGCTGCTGCTCCTGGGGGTCACCGGCATTAAGCCGAAGTGGAGCCTGACATTCCCTCCTACAGACTGAGAAGTTTTTTTGGAAGAGGTGGGTGTGTGTCTGCGTGTGTGTGTGGAGGGGGGGGGACGACGACGACGACGACTTGTCCCGCTTTGCTCCCCCCCTATTGTTTGTGCCGGAGCCTGGCACCAATCAC